CTGGTAGCATAGTGCCTAAGGCACTTGACTGCTAACCAGAAGGCTGGTGGTTCAAACCCACCAGCCACTCCTCAGAAGGAAGGTTGGGCAATCTTCCGTAGTGATACCACCTTGGAAACCCAAGGAGGGGCACTATGAGTCGGGTCCGACTCGACAGCAAACAACAACAATTTTAGTAAGGGCTGTGGAAGTAGCAGTTATGTGCTGGGGGAGGTTGTTAAGCTCCAGAGTTAGAAGTGTGTGGTACTGAGTTACAGAGAATTCTGTGGGGAAGAAAGTTAACACAGGGGAGCTCTCAGCCTGGGAGGACAAGCAAGCCAGGCGGCTGCCTGGGCCTGACAGAATGCATCGACGACTGTGGATTTCAGCCCAGTGGCTTTTTCACTTGGAAAGGATGTGTGAATCCTTTTGAACTTTCTAGTTTTTGTGTGGAGCACAGGAGTGGCACTTGGGTTAGCCACGCTTTTTTCCCCGCCAGAACTCTGCACAGAGGTGGTTTTTAAGCCATGGGAAGGTATGTGACACGTGAAGTGTGTTAAATAGAACCATCGCTGACGCTGGGAGCTTGACCGATGGGAAGAACGGTAAAGACCTCGGTCTTCCTGGCGGCTGAGTTTCAGTGCTCCCACCAGTGGTTAAGGAGCCCTGGTGACTCTGGGGTTAAGTGCTCAGTGTTAACCATGTCAGTATTTGAACCCACCAGCCACCTCTCAGGAGAAAGGCGCTTCCATGACAGCCTCAGAAACCCCGTGGGGCAGCTCTCCACTCTGTCCTGCAGAGTCGCCGTGAGTCAGGATCGCCTTGACAGTAATGGGTTTAGTGGCACTGGTGGTAGGAGAGCCGGGTGTTGTTTTTGGTTTTGCTGCAGACTCACTGAGTTCTGAGCTCAGGAATGCTGGAGATCCTGCTCTGTGAGGGTGAGCTAGGAAGGGAGCCCATCTCTTCATCTGTGCAGTGGGATCTACAGTGTCTGCTCCTACGGTTTCCTGTCACCTTGTGGGGATGGAGAAGGATTGAAGAGGGCTAGTGGGGCCTGACTACCTGTCATCTGTCAAATGCATCAAACCGAGGGAGGCCTCGTGGTTCCTGTTTAGGGGCTGAAGTATTTCAGTATTTCCAGAAGCCTTACAGAAGTTGTGCTTCTGCCCTGAGTGAAAGTGCTGGGCTGCTCAGAACATGACATCGAGATGCCAGCGTTTCTTTTACTTTCCTTGGGATTATGTTACTTTAGCTACTGCTTTATAATAGACTAGATGTAAGGAGCTCTGATGGTGTAGTGGTTAAGGCATTGGAAGGTTGGTGGTTCAAATCTACCAGCTGTTCATGGAAGAAAGATGGGGTGGCCTGCTTCCATAAAGATTTACAGCCTTGGGAAGCCAGTGAGGGTCGCTGTGAGTCAGCATTGACTCAATGGCAGTGAGGTTGGTTTTGGTTTGAGATGTTAACTGTAGTGATCTCTTGAGGGTCAGTAGCACTCACTGGAAGTAACAGATGTCTTTAATTAAAACACTAGTTGCTGTCGAGTTAATTTTGAGTCATGTTGTTGTTGTTTGCCGTCGAGTCGGACCTGACGCATAGAGACCCCTCCTTGGGTTTCCGAGGTGGTATCACTAGGGAAGTAGATTGCTCAACCTTCCTTCCGACGAGTGGCTGGTGGGTTTGAACCACCAGCCTCCTGGTTATCAGTCAAGTGTCTTAGGTGGCCCAATAAGACAGAGTAGAACTACCGCCTAGGATTTCCAAGGCTGTAGTCTTTGTGTGATAGGAGCTCTGGTAGCGTAGTGCCTAAGGCACTTGACTGGTAACCAGAAGGTTGGCGGTTCAAACCCACCAGTCACTCCTTGGAAGGAAGATTGAGCAATCTACTTCTGTAGAGATACCGCCTTGGAAACCCAAGGAGGAGGAGTCGCTATGAGTCAAGGATGACTCGATGGCACATAACAACAACAACAACAACAACAATCTTTGTGTAAGAAGAATTCCATTATCTTCTGAGGAGCAGCTGGTGGGACTGATTGTTTCCGTTAATTTTGGTTTTCTTCTTTCTTCTTGACGAGGAGAGA